AATCCTATTCTTTAGCCTCTCAGAGTGCATAAGGAATATTGACTAATCAAGAGTTTGGTCCCTAAATTTGTGTTTAGGTTCAGAGGATACTGGCTACCACTCTAGAGCGCTCACTTCTCCCTCCCCTGAGGGCTAACAATCTTGCTTTAGTTTCAAAGCAACTGGACCAAATTGGGCGTTTTAATTTAATATATCACCTTAAAATCTCCAATTCTGCATCCAATAAAGTATATTTTTTCCAATTTATTTGCACTCAACCTCATGGATGACATCCTCTCCCATTGAATCGAATGTGACTCTCACAATATTGTAGAAAGCATAGCCCTTTCGGATCTTATGTTTCTCAACAGAAGGGAGAAGGATAAAGAAGACTACTCATAATTTATGAGAAGGATACGACAAAACAGAGATTTTATATATAAAAATAATTTTACAAAATAAATAAAAAAAAGAACACAACTTATCGCACACTCCTTCTCAATAAAATCCCTTGAAGTTCCCTTTAAGCACTTTCTCTCCTTACAATCACACTACATTCTCTCTTATAAATGTAATGAAGAAAAAATCTCTCACCTTCCCTCTCCTCTTACAACACTAGAAGAAAAACCTAACTCTTCTCCACAACTCTCTCTTACGTCACCCGTAGTCCTCTCTTCCAAAACGCTCTCTCGCCCCCCCTCCCCCTTAGACTCTCTAGACTCTCCTCTTTTTATTAAGGCCAGCCTTCCTTCCAAAAAAAATCAAAATTCCCTCCTTTTTCCTCAAAAGGCACACCTCGTCATATCAAGAGACAAGTACCTTCATCCAAGAGACGTATCTCTTCATTCAAGAGCTTTTCCTCTTCATTCAAGAGTCCTTCATTCAAGAGTCTTTCCAAAGTGTCTAGATACATTGAATCACTCTATGGGGTGTTTGAATTGATTGGAGCCTTCTAGAACTGTTTAAAAAAGTCAATAACCACCTTACTCTGTCTTAATTCTTCTCTTGTGTCTCTGGCACCTCTGGCCCCAGTGTATTAAAGTTTCGTGCTGTTCTCTAGATTCTGACACCTCTGTCGCCACTTCTCTGTTAAATAGCGCCTCTAGTGCTAGTTTCTAACACCTCTAGCGCCAGCTCTCTGTAAAATAATGCCTCTGGCGCCTCTGGCTCCAAGATGCTGAAAAGCTCCATTTTGACTTCAAATTTTCTTCTTTTTACTCCAAATGCCTAAAATTAATATATCTGTAACAAAACATAAAAATACTCTTCGTTAAAATGAATATCATCAAATTTAAGCATAAAATGTATACATAAAAGTGCACCTTTTTTGGCGTATCAATTTGTAAGATAAATCAAATGAGATAATTACTGAGGATTCAAATTATGTTCAAGAAAATTTTAAGATTTTAGACACTACTAAAAATAGTAAACCTTTGATCCCTTCAATTGAATTACCTTCTGAACTTTAGATGAAGGTGCTCTCAATGCATTTAAAGTACACATTTTTAGGGAACTCATCAACATTACCGTTATAATATCCTCAGATTTAACTGAAGCTCAAGAAGAAAAATTAATGGAGACTTTAAAAAACTATAAGAAAGATTTTGTTTTTGGATGGACGTTAGCCGATACTAAAAGAATCAGTCCTTCAATCTGTATGCACAAAATTTTAATGGAAGATGACCATAAGCCTAGGGCAGATGCTCAAAAGAGATTGAATCATATCATGAAAGATGTTGTAAAGAATAAAATTTTAAATTGATTGGTTGCTGAAATCATTTATCCTATTTTTTATAGTGCTTGGGTTAGTTCTATTCACTATGTTCCTAAGAAAGGGGGAGTGACAATAATTGTCAACGAACGGAATGAGTTAATTCAAATAGGATAATTCACTGGGTGGTGTATCTGTATTGATTATAGAAAATTAAACCTCACCACTAGAAAAGATCACTTTCCTCAACCTTTTCTGGATTAAATGTTGGGTTGATATTTCTGCTTTTTAGATGGATAATCTGGATGCCACCGACTCCATATTGCTCCTGAGGATCAGGATAAGACTACATTTATAAGTCAGTACAAGAATTTTGCTTTTAGAAGAATGTATTTTGCTTTATGTAATGCACCTGCAACTTTTCAAAGGTGCATGACATATATTTTCTGTGACTTAATTGAGAAAGAAATTGAAATTTTTATGAACGAATTCTCCGTCTTTGGAACCTCTTTTGATTCATGTGTAGATCCTTTAGCCAAGGTTCTTAAATGCTGTAAAGAAACAAATTTAGTTCTCAACTAAGAGAAATATCAATTTATGGCCACAGAAGGAATTGTTTTAAAACATAGAATTTCTGAAAATGGCATGAAAGATGATCCAACAAAAATTTAAGTTATTGTTGAACTATCCCCCCTACCACGATGAGTAGAGTTAGAAATTTTTTAGGACTTGCTGGATTCTACATGCATTATATTAAAGACTTTTTAAAAATTACTAAGCCTCTGTGTCATCTCTTAAAAAAAGATATGACATTTGATTTTAATGAAGAATGCCTAAATGCCTTTGAATTATTAAAGGAAAAATTAATCACTACACATATTATTGTTTCACCTAATTGGGAAAAATCATTCGAATTAATGTGTGATGCAAGTGATCATGCTATTGGGGTTGTATTAGGGCAAAAATATGATAAGATTTTTAAAGTTAATTACACAAATTCTTGTACTGCGAGTAAAACTCTTAATGAAACACAAATTAATTACACTACTACTAAAAAGGAGTAATTGGAAATAGTATATGCTTCTGATAAATTTTGACCTTATCTTATTGGAGCTAAATGTATTGTGCATACTTATCATTCCACTATTAAATATCTGATGCTTAAGAAGGATGCATAACAAATGTTAATTATATGGGTTCTTCTTTTGCAGGAGTTCGATTTTCAGGCAGTGGATAGGAAGGGTTTTGATAATCAAATTGCTGATCATTTGTCGAGACTTGAACAAGAAAATTATGGGAACTTTGATAATGTAATAAATAAAATTTTTCCTGGTGAACAACTATATGTTGTTCTTGAGTGGCATATTTTGTGATATGCTGATATACTTAACTATTAAGTCAGTAATATTTTACCGTACGGATTAATAAGCCACCAGAAAAAATGTTCATTCACAATGCAAGATTTTACTTTTAGAATGACCCTTTTTTATATGAATAATATAAGGATCTAGTCATCCGAAGATTTGTATCAATTAAAGAAACCAAGGAAATTATTCAAAAATGTCATAAATCTAATTATGGGGGACATTTTGGAGTGGATAAAACTGATTTTAAAATTTTATAATTTGGATTCTATTGGCCTACATTATTTAAGGATGGTAACACTTATGTGAAAACTTGTGATAGATGTCAGGGAGTGGGAAATATTTCTAAGAAGGATGAATGCTCCTCAATTTTACTTTAGAAGTTGAAATTTTTTATGTATGGGGTTTAGATTTTATGGGACCATTGTATCATATTCTAGAAACTATACATTTTATTAGCTGTGTATTATGTTTCTAAATGGATTGAAGTTGTTGCTTACCCCAATGTGATTATCAGAGTGTTGCAAAATTTTTAAAGAGAAATATTTTTACTAGTTCGAAATATCAAGAGTGATCATTACTAGTTGGGGAGTCATTTTGAAAACAATGTTGAAACATTAACGAGAAAATATGGAATTAAATATCGAATTGCCACAACTTATCACCTTCAAACTAGTGGTTTAGCAGAAGTATCCAATCGTGAAATTAAAAAAAAATATTAAGAAAAAGTTTAAGTCCTAACATAAGAGATTGGTCTGCTAGACTTGATTCTGCATTATGAGCTTATAAGACTGCTTATAAAACTCCAATTGAAAGGTCACCATATAGGCTCATATTTGGAAAGACTTGTCACTTTTCAGTTGAATTGGAGCATAATATTTATTGGGCTACTAAAAAATTTAACTACAATTTGAGGAACACTGACAACAAATGATTATTGCTATTAAATGAGCTTGAGGAAGTAAGGAAGTAATCTTATGAAAATGTGAAGATTTATACCGAAAATATGAAAAATTGGCATGGTCGGAAGATTTTGAGAAAAGATTTTGAGCCTAGTGATGCAGATTTTATGCTAATAATGTTTTTAAACACTCTAATACAAGTGACAGCGAGACTGCAAAATATGCAGGACAATCACAACAAAAGTTTACTTCGTTATAATCAGTTTCTCTTTTAAATCGTTAAAGTTGTCACTCCTACTGAATTAATGAAATTTTTAAATTTGAAATAGTCACTAGGTTACAAACACAAGCATGTGTATCGTACAAGTAATAAAGGGCTCTAATGGAGTCCTAGGTATCGATCCCACAGGGAGGTGAAAATTCTTACAAATATAAATTTAAACAAAAATTTAACTTGTTAATCATAGATTCTACATGATCTTCCTTAAAGTAGATTGTTGCTCAACGATTTATGTGTTTCCTATTCAATCTCTCTATTTTGTTTCTTCATTGATTCATAGCTAAGAAATAGTGTTAGGCAATCATATCTCCTTTTTCATATGACTAAATGATTAGATATGTTAATTAAATGTTTCCAATACATTACCCGTTGCTAAATAAATGTTATAACAAGTATTTTGTATTAATCTTTGTAAGAATAGAAGTTTATATAACTGATATTTATAAAACATATAGTTTGATCCACGTATAATACATAGAAACATAATAAACAAAAATTTATGAAATATTCAACCTTCTTTATTATCTTATTCATTTAATGAATCTTACATTTTTTTCCTAAAAGCCCTCATGAGCTTGAATCCATGCATGCATGTATGTGCACTTATTTTTGCTTTCGTTAATAATTTCAAATTCCATGAAGTCAATATATCAAATATATTATCAAAATAGACATAAGCGGAGTTAGAAATTTGTCGCACATAAACTAAAATATTTTTAATCCAACTTATAACACAATACAAAATACAACTCTCAAGCTCACATACTCTCCTTTTAAATTTTCTTCATTTCTTCTTTCTTTTCTTTTCTTTTTGAGTTTGACTTCTTTTTTCATACATCAATTTTAAAAGGAGATCATATATATAAATTAAGAACTCAACTTCACCATTTATTTTTCACCTACCAAACATAATATAGACTATATTTCACCCAAATATATACTCATGATAAAGGTAACAAACTAATGTGACGGGACACTGGAATACACAGCAAAGGAGTAGCCCTCCGCAGCGTCAATCCAGACGCCTCAGTCATGTCAATCTTCTCTCCATCTCCAACAACCTTCCACTCAAAGCATTGTATTAGTGAGGCCAATGCACTATACACGACTTGAAGTGCTGCTGTTATTCCTGGGCAACCTCTCCTTCCGCTTCCAAATGGTATTAAATGGAAATGTTGGCCCCTTACATCGATGATAACATTACCATTGTCTTCATTTACTAAAAATCTCTCTGGCATGAACTTGAGAGGGTCAATCCAATATTTAGCCTCACGACCAATGGCCCAGACATTGATGAAAAGTCTTGTCTTAGCTGGGATGTTGAAGCCATCGACCATACAATCTTTGTCAGATTCACGAGGGATTAAAGGGGTTGGAGGATGGAGACGAAGTGTTTCCATCACGATGGCCTTAAGATATGGGAGGTTGGGAATATCATTTTCATCCACCAATCGATGATTTCCTACAATAGTGTCGAGTTCAGCTCTAGCTTTTTGCATGTAGATTGGGTTATTTATGAGTTCAGCCATCGCCCATTGCACCGTTAATGAAGTGTTATCAGTGCCCCCAGTGAAGATGTCCTGAAGTTATAAATTGGATTAAAACATGGGAGATTAAAATAAAAGAAAAATCATATCGAGATATATATAATGTTGCACAAAAATAAAAAAAACTCACTCGTATAAAAGCTTTAACATTGTTTCTAGTGAGCTTAACCTCCGCTCCTTCATCCTCAGATATATCCATCAATATATCAAGCAAGTCCTTAGCTTTCAAATTATCTTCATCATTTTGATGAAGTTCTTTCATCTTCTTCCTTTCCTCTTGCTTCTCCTCCATAATTCTCTCCATCAACCCATCAAATCTCTGGTGCAAATTTTGCAACCTCTTGTCAAATCAACCTCTTGTCAAACCCTTGCAAATCCAAATTTTTGCAAAACCATAAATAATCTGCAACGTTAAACTTTCCTAGCAGCTCTGTTGTTTGCATCACCAACCTAGTTGCCTCATCAGCCTCAGCATTTGTTCCCGAGCATCGTCGGCTAACAGCCATGCGAGTAGTCACATTGTTTGTCATCTTTGTCATCTCTGCGCCCAAGTCTACAAACTCACCTTCTTTGGCTTTGGCGTGCAACTCCACAAGGAGTCGTCTAAGCTCATCGCGACGAATTGGGCGAAATTGCTCAAGGGTTCGAGTGCTGAAAAGCTCCATCATATAGAGTCGCTTGGTGAAGCGCCAAAAGCTGCCGTAAGGAGCAAATGAGAAGTTAGAAGAACCATATGTTAGAATGGAGACAGCCTTAGTGAATGGTCTATTGGGAAAGGAAGAGTCATGTGTCTTAAGAAACTCGCGAGCAGCCGAAGAGGAGCAAGCGATGATGCATGGTATGGAGCCGAGGCTAAGGGAGAAAATGGGTCCTAGGTGCTGGGATAGGCGGTGGAAGGATTGATGTGGAAGGGCTGAGAGGAGGTGGAGGTGACCTATGATAGGTAAGCGATGAGGTGATGGTAGGCGAGGATGAACATGATGACAAGGGTCTTGGTGGAAGTGCCGAAACAAAGGGAGAAAAACAATGAGCATTAAGAGAGCAACGAAGGGTAGAAGTGCTGCATGAGTGGCTTCACCCACGATGCTGCTATACATGCCCTGCATCATAGTTAATTGATTAAGGTGATTGAGCATGCATGCAGGCAACGACAGCAATATATATAAGGTTAAGCCTTTGTCGTAGATTGTGTAGGAATTTTTTGAGGCATCAAGCATATGATCTCAAGCCTTAGTTCGTCTTCATCTTTAACTTGGCGTCATCTTCCGAGAATTACTTTGTTTTTTGAGCTCTAGATTCCTATTCCTTTAGATTCCTATTCTTCATAGTCCATGCGTGCACTTGCAATTATTATATTGAAAAGTTGCTATTAAAATATAGATGCTATTTATTAAGCCAGAAAATCACTTAAATATAACAAAAGCTTAAGGAAAATTTACATATATATCACTCATTTTAAAAATATAAAGATTGGGTGGTATAAATGTAAAAAAGAAAAAAAATTATTAGATTATCCCTAATCCGGATGATAGTATAAATTTTCACTTTGATCTTGCTGTAATACTTAAAAGAGCAGATATAGGCACTAAAACATTAGATGAATGAATCCTTGCACCAATATCAGAAGTGTTGCCGCATTAGAAACCTCAATTATGATACGTGAGATTATAAACTTCATCCCTACATTTTAACTTTATTGATAATCATTTATAAATTTATTATCATTACAAAACAAACTATTTGTTTATCATTATTTATATTTAGGGTGTATATATATATATATATATATATATATGCATATTGAAGATTGGCCAAAGGCTATTATTCGTTTCCCTAGATCAACCTCATGTGCCAAAAAATTTAAGTTCACACATAGGACCCGTGATCCTAGCAGTCTTACAAACTGCCAACAAAAGAATCATAATAGGCGGCACAAACATATAAAGACACACCCCTTGAGAGTCTTACTAAAGAAAAAAAAGAAGTTTTTATATACGAAGCACCCAAAACAATACATTTACATAAAAAACACCTAAACTTTTGTTTTACGGTGGAAGGAGCACTCCGTAACTCATGTCTCCTTCTTCATAACCATCCGTAACCACCATTTTTCCTCCAACAGTTCTTGTATGTCCCGCGTATGTCAAACGAAGCTCACCATCTCTCATTCACTAGAAGGCTACAAACAATGCTCCCTTCTTCTTATGGAGAGAATGAGGTGAATTGTTCTGCAAAATTATTTTTTGTACACAATGATAGATCATTGAAATATTTTATTAGCTTATTAACCTACGTTTTATTTATTGCATGTAGTGGTCATCAATTCAAAATTTGGATTTATAGCTTAATATAAATGAGCACTTGCTTATAACTTTAAATTTGGTGGATATTAGACTCAAGTCAAAAACAAAAAAGAGGAAGAAGTATAATGGGTGCAAGCAGAGAACTATGAAGATTAAAAAAAATATGTTGAATCTTCATTCAATAGAACAAATATTAAATAAACATTAGCGAATATGTATGGCTTATCACTACCATACATGAGGTTATGGTGGTCACGAGAGGAAGCTCGCAATAATATTTTTGGATCAGTAGAGTACTAAAGATGGGTGCTCGCGTTACAAGCTGTGTTGATTAACATATTTGTGAGCTTTAAAGTTTGCATTGATGGAAAAAAGGTTGCAGAACTCTGATAGGGCCAGATGCATGTCATCTAAAGTCGAAATACCTGGGTATATTACTAGCTAAAAATTTACTAGATGATGATAACAATTTTATCTCTATAGCCTTTGCAATTACAAAATTCGAGTAAAAAAACACTTGGAAATGATTTTTATAGTGATTTTCATTATCTTTTGGGCTTGATTTGCAAACTTTGGCTTTTATGTCTGTCATGGAGAAGGGTTTGGGAGAGGCCATCAAGATTGTTTTTCCAAATATAGAGCACAGAATTCGTTAACGCCATCTTTATAAGAATTTAACGAATTAGTCATTTGGTTAAATGCTTCCTATGATTAGCAGCTAATGCGTACACACAAAGTGAGTTTGATAGTAAGGAGGAGTTGTTGGTGTTTCTCTATAAATTCACTCCTACCTACTTCATCCCTTTATAAATGGCATAGAAGTTTTTTTAACGTTGAAATACAAAATTATTCTAACACAAATAAAATGTCTAAAGCCTTTGTTGTTTTTTTATTGGAGAAGCCCAAAATAAGCAAGTGGTTGACGTAATTAGCATGATTTGAGCTATGCTTATGCAACAAGGAGCTCGAAGAAAGAGAGTCGCTGCTTCTTTGAAAGGGGAATTAGTTCCCTATGTTGAAGACTACATTAGAAACATAACCAAAAGGAAAGAATAGTTCCTTGTAAAGGAATGCACACCACTTCGAGCTGAGGTTGAAGATAACAATGTTAGACATGAAGTTGACATAGAACTTAAAACATGTACATTTAGAGTTTGGCAAGTAAATGGCCTACCATGCATCCATGCAACTACATTTATTGAGTTCAAGGAGCACCCCACATGGCATAGATATGTTCAATCTAGCTATCAGATTATTAGTTTATAGTCTCTGTTTTTATGCTCAAGAATATCTATATTTTATGTTATTATTTCAAATTTTTTATTTTTTGTAATTGTACGTAAATGAAGGCCTATGAAGTTCTCATCTCGACACTCCAAGAAAAAATCAATAAAGAAAAACTTACGAGGGCATACATGTTGGTGTGTCAAACACATTGAGGCTGAGAGGAGGACCAATGAAAAAAAGATTCAAAAACATCTTTGAAAATAACAATGGAAAACAAATAAATGTCCATCAATGTGACCATTATGGACATTGGGGGCATAAAAAAACCACATGCATAAATTTTTTTGGTATACAAACATCATAAATTTCACAGGTTGAAAGGGAATGCTTGGACAGAGTTGAAATGGATGAATGTCTCTAGTACCTTTATATACATATAACAGAATCAAAGTTGTTTTTACTGGATAGAAATTTTTATAACAGAATCAAAGTTGTTTTTACTGGATAGAAATCTTTGCAGCAATATATTTCGACACTTAGTTGTAATTGAATTTTGCACTATGTTTCATCACATAGTCCTAAAACTTTTGAAACTTCTCATTTTCTTTAAAGTGGAAATCTTTTGGTTTTGATTTTACATATTTTTGAATTTACACTTAAAGAATTCGAATATGTATGACTTCTTGTCTTTAATCTGAGAATATTTTATGATTAATATTCATTGCATCAAAAATCATAAATTATAAAACATCTTGCATCAATACTTTCGATTTGAGGAAAATAACCGCTATTTAAGTTTATAGAATATCAATTCTACTTCATGAGAGTAAACTTAACCTTATATCATTCTTCTTGCTTTTACATCATTGATATTTATTATGATCTAAATGCAACAAGTTTCTTAGACCAATAATGATTTGAGGATGAACATTCTCTATCATGAACTTTTATATAACTCAGTGTAGTTGGATGATCTTCCCAAGCCTTCACCAGTTGTTTCCCTACTAGAATATGAGTTGCTATAAATATAACTACCAAAATTTTAAGTTTTAGATATGTATATACATAGAAATTGTGTTGTTTGTATGTAAATTTCTCAATAATTATTCTTGCAGAGGAGCTTCACCAAAACTTTAAGCGTCGCCCTACCAAATCTTATGCTCCAGAAAAGATCTTAATAGATTCTAACGCAATTCAGGCTTGGTGTGTCCTGTGAAAAGAGATGTGAGGTGTGATGCTAGACTTCTCTTTTTAACTGGCATTTACATGCATACAACACAGTTTATATGAATTTACATATCTAACATAAACATTTATGTTTTTATGACAAGTTGTATCGCTTGAATCCAAATTGAGATGTCCAAATGATCTTTGAAAAGCCGATAATATTGTAATATGATAATCATTTGTAAATTGGTTGCTCATCACTCTATTCCATGCCAAAAGTTTCAAGCTTTTTATTAAAATTATATTTTTGTTACCATCATTGAGTTAATGCAGTTGTTGATCCCATCAAAAGTTGCTTTTTCACATTTTCACTAGCATTCCTGGTCACATCTTTTTTTTTGAAATAGTCATCTTTGAACCACAGAACATTAATATTCCAGTTCCTCTTCAAAGGACGCCCAATCTTGTGCAGCACCGCTTGAAGATTTGTTTAGGGAACCTGGTTTGGAATTTGGAAGCTTCTCCATTAATTTTGGTGGGAAAGCTTTTGATCCAAAATCTATTTTTAATGTCAATTCATTTTATTAACAAGAACATGCTTTCTATCCTTAAGAAAATTGTAGGAGGTTCACATGGGTCGGAGGACCACTCAGACCAATTTTCATGATTTTTGGAATCATGTTTTAATTATTATCATTTTTTGTTGATTTTAATCAATAAATAAATGAAAAAAAAATATTTTTTTTAAATTACTTTTTTAACCTCTCTGACTTCGGAGAAATTAGGGAAATTAATTTTATATTTTTTTTTATTTTTATTTGAATTTTTATAATTTTTAAGTCAAAATTATAAGAAAATACATTTAATTACATAAAGTATATTTTTATTACTTCAGAAATTTATAGAAAAATTTAAAGTTGTTTTCATCAATTAGGATGTGATTTGTGATATTTTGACATACTTTGGTATTTTCATAATGTTTTTGGTATTTTTTTTTAAATTATTTTAAATTAGTGAAAATGACTAAAAATGAACTTTTTATTTTAACTTCAGTTTTATTTTTCTTAGATAGTTGTAGTCTTAAGAAACACTTCAAACCACTTTTCTATAAGTTTATGATTCATATTTTATTTTTTATAATTAGTTTAAGCCAAAATTCTTATTTACTTAGAAAATAAATTTTTATATTAAAAATAATTTTTATTGCTCTGGAATTTTTAAAGGGACTTTCTAAGGCCATTCCCTTCAATTTGGGTTATTTTGGTAATTTTATTTAGTTATTTTATATTTTTCTTAATTATGGTAGCTTTCTTAATTTTAAAAGAGGAAAATATGCTTTAAATTTTTGAAATTTGATTTTCATTTTTCCTAAGTTCTCCTGAACACAATGAAAACACCAAACCAATTTTTATAATTTTCTAC